CCCGGCCCCTGGCTCAAAAAGGTTGCCTACCCCTGATTTAAACCCTGGCATCCTGGAGTACTCACCCAACACTCAAACCACTACACTACATGTATGAGAATCAAGAAGACAAAAGAGTGTAATTTTCTCAGGAAGCTACCCCCAAGACATTTTACTGAGGCAAAGAACACAATGATGTACCTCTGCACAAAACATGAATGGATTTGTAATTGGAGTTTTCTTCAACAATGGCAATGATAGCATTGCATCTGAGATAAAAAGCTGTCATCTTCTAATACTCATCCAGCACTTAAACCACTACACCTCACTCTGCCTAAGGACAGGGATGCCCTGGTTTAAAAAATTGATTATTTGGGCATTCATTTGCCCCTTTCTCTAAGGCTAGATTCCCATGACAATGTTTTGGTTGGCAATGCTACCTTGATGAAATGTTAATGTAATACCACTTCTGCTTCAATAGGAATATCAAGAAAATCAACCAGCCACCTGTGGATTGCAGTAACTTGTTCTTTACTATGTATTCTACCACTCAGACATAAGACAAATTCATGAGTCGTGGCATAGTGGTTTGAGCATTGGACTACGACTCTGGAGATCAGGGTTTGAATCCTGGCTTGTCCATGGAAACCCACTGAGTGATTTTGGGCAAGTCACACACACTCAGCCTCAGAGGATTGCAATGGTAAACCCCTGTGAAGAAACATGCCAAGAAAACCCCATGACAGTTTTGCCTTAAGGTTGCCATAAGTTGGAAATGACTGAAAGATACACAACAACAACAACAAAATTGATTATGTCAAAAATCATGAGTAATTACTAAGATGGGATAAGTAACCCATTTGAGTTGATCTTGAGTATATATACTGACCTGATTTTTTTTCTTTTTCCTCAGCAAAGCCCAGCTTACATGAAAGATATAAATAACTAAAATGGCCAGAAGTGGGCACTTTTCATCTACTGACTTCCACTCTGCTTTATCAAGCAAGATTTCAAGGCTGTCACACAGCCAGCACAGGAGTCGGATGAAAGAGCAATTGGAAAGCATGGACTCTTTTAACACAAATGTAAAGGCTAATACCAGTCTTGAGGTGCAATCAGGGATGGCCTTACTATTGAGCAGAGTAAGGTAATCCCCTCTGGTGGAAATGCTGAGGAGAAACAAAGGGAGGAAGAAAAGGGGGAATGCCATTGCATCTCTCCAGCAATTGCCACCAAAGGAGATTACCTTGCTCTGTCTAATGGTAAGGCCAATCCTAGTTGCACCTCAGGTTGACATTACCCCTAGCTGTTCCCCTCTTTGTGCTATGAACAACCTGTCCTGAACCACTTAAAAGAGTCTGCTGTCAGAATGCTCTATCCTACTGCCAGGATAGAGTTGAAGTTCAATCTGCCAAATAAGATTCAACTGTTGGTCCAGTTGGTTTCTGTAGAATCTGCATAATGCAAGGGGATCAGTAGTTGAATTTTATGACATGAGTGGTGCACCATCTTGGCAAAAAAAAAAAAAAAAAAAATCTCATGGGCCAGCTCTGTTTGCAGTCTGAATGCCTTAAGGATGGCTCAGCACACACATTCACATACATTTCTAGTTCTGGAGAAAGAACAGCAATAAGAGATCTTTAGAGAACTCCTGGAGAACAGGAGAAGTCCCAGCAGACTGAAGGAGGGCAAAGAGGATCCCAACAACTATCATCCAGTTAGTCTAACATCAATACCAGAAAAGATTCTAGAGCAGATCATTAAACAGAGAATCTGTGAACATTTAGAAGGAAATGACATAATCATTAAAACTCAACATGGGTTTCTCAAAAACAAGTCATGCCAGACTAATCTGATCTCTCTTTTTTAATGGAATTACCAGCTTGGTAGATGAAGGGAATGCCATGGATATAGCATATCTTGATTCCAGTAAGGCCTTTGACAAAGTTCCCCATGACATTCTGGCAAACAAAATAGTAAAATGTGGGTTAGACAAGGTAACTGTTATTTGTAATTGGTTGACTGGCCAAACTCAAAGGGTGCTCAATAATGTCTCCTTTTCATCCTGGAGAGAAGTGACCAGTGGGGTGCCACAGGGTTCTGTCCTGGGCCCAGTTCTATTCAACATCTTTATTAGTGACTTGGAGGAAAGAATAGAGGGCATACTTATCAAATTTGCAGATGACACCAAATTAGGAGGATTAGTTAATACCCCAGAGGACAGGATGAAAATTCAAAATGACCTTAATAGATTTGGAAGCTGAGCCAAAGGTAACAAAATGAATTTTAACATGGAGAAATGTAAGGTACTGGACTTAGGGTGAAAAAATGAAATGCATAGATATAGGATGGGGGACACCTGGCTTAACGAGACTATGTGTGAAAGGGATCTAGGAGTCCTAGTAGACCACAAGTTGAACATGAGTCAACAATATGATGCAGCAGCTAAAAAGGCCAATGCAATTTTAGGCTGCATCAATAGAAGTATAGTATCTAGATCAAGGGTTGTAATAGTGCCACTGTATTCTTCTTTGGTCAGGCCCCACCCGGAATACTGTGTCCAATTCTGGACACCACAATTCAAAAAGGATGTTGAGAAACTGGAGCGTGTCCAAGAGAGGGCGACTAAAATGGTGAAGGGTCTGGAAACCATGTCCTATGAGGAATGACTTAGGGAACTGGGTATGTTTAGCCTGGAGAAGAAACGGTTGAGAGGTGATATGATAGCCCTGTTTAAGTATTTGAAGGGATGTCATATAGAGGAGGAAACAAGCTTGTTTTCTGCTGCTCCAGAGAACAGGCCGTGGAGCCATGGGTGCAAGCTACAGGAAAAGAGATTCCACCTCAACATTAGGAGACACTTCCTGACAATAAGGGCTGTTTGACAGTGGAACACTCTCCCTCAGAGTATGGTGGAGTTTCCTTCTTTGGAGGTTTTTAAACAGAGGCTGGATGGCCATCTGTTGGGAATACTTTAATTTTGAGTTCCTGCATGGCAGGGTGGTTGGACTGGATGGACCTTATGGTCTCTTCTAACACTATGATTCTATGATTCTAAGAGAGCCAGTCCCTGATGCAGCTCCATATCTTTCCACCAATGTCTGCCACTTGGAATATGAGAAATGTATATGTTCCCAAGAAAATTCCATTGATTAAATTCCCTATTTTTTCTGCCTATTGTTATTGTGTGCCTTCAAGTCATTTCTGACTTATGGCAATCATAAGGTAGACTTATCATGGGGGGTTCTTGGCAAGTTTTGTTCAGAGGGGGTTTGCCATGACATGAGACTGAGAGAGAGAGAATGATTTGCCCAAGATCAGCCAGTGGATTTCCATGGCCAAGAAGGGATTTGAACCCTGGTCACTAAAGTCATAGTCCAATGCTCAAACCACTATACCACACTACCTCTCTTTTCTGCCTATAAAACACTGGCTCCTGTCTGAAAATGTGACTCATCTCTAAGATCTCTGCTCTGATTTATAAAATGTAACCTTTAGTAACCTTTTGCAGCCTGTTGTTCAGTTTATAATTCTCAAGCATAGGCAAGGCTAGCTCTACTATGCCACAGTGATAATACAAAATTTCACAGCTAAGAATGATCAGTAGGAATAAGGGGGGGATCCCTGTTCTCTTTTGCCTTTGGTTTTCACTTCTCCAATAAATGGTTGAAGAGCTCCTGTTTCAAAGATTTCTGAAGAAGGATTCTAAATTTTTATTCAATTCTCTTCTCTTCTCTTCTCTTCTCTTCTCTTCTCTTCTCTTCT